AATTATGTCCACAAAGGGAAAAGGTAGCATAACCTTTTGAGAATGACATGGACGGCATGGTTGCCTGTGGTTCTAATCTTGATAAAGAGCATAAATCAAAATGCAGAAGTCAGTTATGAGTGAACTAGAAACATACTGTAAATTTAAATGCCTAGTGCACCTGACTAGGTAGGTGGGGGAGAGACCACTGCCTGAAGTCAATGCGGACAGTACCAACCTAGATAGACTAATGGGAGATGTTGTTCCACAGAAGAGGGGCCACCAAAGACAGAGTCAGCCCACAGGCCCGTTCCTCATGAATCTTATTGGACATGCATAGCACAACCAGAGTTTGCAATACAGTTGGGCTGGTCATTATGAGAGGAGGCATTCTTTTAAATGTTTGAGGCCTAGATTGTTTAGGACCTGAAGTATTTACACTCACATCTTGAATTGGGCCTAGACGACTATGGGAAACCAGTGTAATATTTTCAGAATGGATGCTATATTTGAACACTCCAGGATATCCACTAGCCCCCAGACTGCAGCATTTTGCCCCAGTTCAGTTTGAAGGGCAGCCCCATGTGGAGTTCATTACAGTAATCAAACCTGGATGTTTCCAGAAGACCATGGGACATCATCTGGGGAAAAAAGGTCTGTTGAAAGAAATTTGCAATAAATGAAAGAGCGCTTTAAATGGTGCGTAATTATTGTTAACTGATGGGAGATGTTGATGAACTAAGCACAAACAATTGGCTTGATTTACAGCAGTTGTCTGACAGTGGTATCCAAAATGGCATATAATCATACATTATAAATGTGTGCACGTGTTTCATGCATGCAACAAAGAAAACAAGGAAACACAGAGTACTAACATAGCACAAATTTAGTAGTTTTAGTTTCCATTAAGTATAAACAGGAATGGTTATACTAGTTGCATTTTTGCATGGATGCTTAAGATTGCGTTATATAACTATTTATAGTAGGGCTTACTTTCAGGAAAGTATGCACTAAATTACAGCATTAGTATCCCAATGGGTTTGTTTTCTGTTTGGGATCCAGCGGTGAACTGCTATGCTGCATTCTGCCTCAGATTTGCATGCCTTTTTGTCCAGCTCTTCTCTTCTGAGTCTTCCTATATATTACTTGTGCATGTTTGTCTGTGTGGTGCTGGCCATTGCAAATGGAAAAATTGCCTCTCCATTCTTAGCCAACAAATTCATTGGCTGTGGCTAGTTTAAACAAGGGAATATTATCCATGAATAAAAGATGCCAGTTCTTCGCATTCCTCTGCCTTGGGGCCAAAGTGGTTATTTTGTATATATTTTTCAAGACTGGTTTTCACTGAAGAAGAAAATATATAAATCCAGGGAGGCTGACATTGGGAGCAAAGGACTAGGTGGGGAGAGGTGTTTTCTTACAGTTCAAAATTACCACCATCACCCATGCCAAGCTGTTTTTCCTTCTGTCAAAAATCTTTTTCGTCTTGTGAGTGTATGTTGGGAGAGGGGGAAGCAAGTTGAGGTGATCTTAATTAGAAAATTGGTCCCTGAGAAAAAGATTAAGCAATTCCTCCTCACTGACTACTCTTCCGATCAAATCTGCACCCTCTTCAGACTGCTCTTTGTTACTATTAAATATCTGGAGCCATACATGAATTTGCATGAAACATTTAGTTTGGTCCACACAGTACAGCATTTATCTCACTTTGAAAGCTATGGATTTGCTGCAGCAGAACCCGAAACTAGCATTCTCAAATTACATCTGTATTGAGCTGACAATAGTGATTACAGTTAATTGCCGGAGTAACTAACTGAGTTGAAAATCTCTCTATATTCTGCAGCCAGCCTACAATGTTGGCTAGAAAATGGATGTCAACGATTCTCCTAAAATTGATGCTATGAAATGAAGCTTCTCCCAGGCTTCACTTTTGGATTCATGTTCAGTTTTCTCTGCTGCTGCTTATATAGACTTCCCAAGATAATGCTGAATGAAATAGATCGGCCTCTGCCAATGTAACCACATGGCCATCTGGATTCCTGTGAAGCTAAGACGAAACACATGATTTTTATTCTGAGCTTGTTCTCAAGGAGCGCTTGAAATGGTGGTGGGAGTTTTCACATGCCATGATCTGGAGAGTCGTACTGCATGCTGAAGAGATCTAACACATACAGGGTTTATCAGATTCTCCAGTCACTGTCCAGCATAGCTACTGCTGCCCCTAAATTCAAATATGCATTGTGTCTTTTTCCAAACATTGCTTCATTTGCATACATGTGGTTTGGAGTTAATCTGCATGTGTGCCGGTGATTTTGTATTAAGCAGTCTGATTAAAATGAAGCTGTGCCTGTTACTTTGGCAGTGAACAAGTCCTATCACCTGAATAAGGGCATATGGGGACAGGCTGTAGTTTGATGCCAGAGCCTGTGTCTTGCATGCAGGAAGTGTCAAGAGTATCCTGTGCTGATAAATAGATATTGGGTAGCAGGACTGGGAAAGACTGCTGGTACGTTCAGTTAGAAGGCACTATAGCAAAATTGGTGAAGCATCCAAGAACTTCTGCTATCCAAAGCAAGCAGTGCTGATCTAGATGGACTAATGGTCTATATTTTATGATCATTTCACACTATTTTATACACATATGTGCAGGAGCTGTGTCAGGGTAGGAGATCAGCAGATTGAACTGGATGGCATCCTAAAATGCAGGAGGACTGTCTACATTTTCAAAGAAGGACTACACAAAGAGCCCCCTAACCCATTAAGACGTCTTAAATCCAGAGTCTCAGATTCCCAGCTACACCACTGCACACGTGTATTTTCCTGAGTGCTTCATCCCTTTAACCTTGCCCCTTTTAACAAAGTCCACTGGATGACTGAAACTTCATAATCAATGTTTTTATTGAGTTGTTAGTGGCACTTAGTGCAGTATGTATAATGCCAGGGTGCAGAGCTAAAATATCAAAATTTAAATGTAAGCACACTTCTCTTATTATAGATAGACAAAAGCTTTTTCTTCTTCTGGAAATGGGATTTGAAAACAGTAGTTTTGTGTTCTGTTTCTTTATGGGCTTCAAATTGTCTTAGCACTAGCCGTTTCCTATAAAACACAATTCAAGTTTGAAAATTCTGCTTTCTAGTAATACAGTAGGCAATAACGACATGTGCAAATGTACAGTTCCGTCTTTCCATTTATTTGGATACCCTTTTTCTTCCTTCTGTTGTGATTCTTCCTTCTGCTGTGTTTTGAATGACATTGAAACATTTATTCTCTGATCTCCTGTAATATTCCAACTTTGACTGTTGCGTGACTGGCATCTTTGATGCTGTAATGGGCTGTATGGTACTTCGAAATGTTAATAGTAAGATACTTTCCTTCCTTAAATTCAGATTTCCAATTTGTCTGCAACAAAACTTTTTGGTTGTTTTCTGTTCAGTGTTGATGGCAACTTTCTCTGGATTACTTATCCATTTTAATATCTACTGGATACTGTTAGCATGATGGCATAACTTAATATTTTGCACAGTCAGATCCCTCTTCTCCCAAAAAATAAACTTCAGTCATATGCCTGTTATTACAATGCCTTTAGATCTCTTTATGTTCTGTTTAAATTGAGCAATTTAAGTTCTGCCAAGTTCTCAGTTGATTCCGTTTCCTAATCTTACTGGAAGTATCAATGATCTGGGGTAAGATTATAATTTTTATCGGCACAATGCGACCATAGCTGCTACAGATCCAATTTAGACATTTTTTCTATCTGACTACTTGCATTTAAAATACAATTTATCTTAATTGTTACTACAGCTTGTTTTTAATTTCTTGTCAAATAGATCCCCAGAAATGGCACTGCCTATTTAGTCAATTGTAACATAGTCCTCGTTACACACAGACACATACATACGTAGGGATATATATTTATTTGCCATTTCTTAAACTGTGCAGCTACTATTTCTGCATGCATACTTTATTTAGGGCACAGTCCTATGATGCCTGCAAAGGTTCTAGAAATATCTAATTTAATTCTTGAACCAACCAGGGGTTTTTTTTCAGCTGGAGCTCAGTTCCAGTACCTCTCAGGTGGGTGCCATTGCCGTTATAAGAGAACAAGGGAGACATTCCTAGTGAGTTTCAGCTCCATTTTTTCTAGAAAAATAGCACTGAAACCAATCATGTTGGATCAATATTGCCTGTACGGAAGGAACAGATCACACCTGAACCGGGATGGGTCTTAAGTGTTGGTACTTAAAATGAAAAGAAGAAGAAGAAGATGGCAGATTATTTGAACTAATTGATAGGAGATGAGAAGCGACTGGTTCTCAGCAAATCATCCCCCAGGGATGAGGGTGCAAGAGGGTCCAATGTTTCTGAGTGTTCAAATGGAGGAGAATGTAGAGGCTCACGGCAGCAATTCAGAGAGGCCAAAGCAGTGTAAGGTAAAACACACATAACAAAGGCATTTGGAAAGATACACAGTTTTATATGCTGATGCTAAAAGACTTCAAGCCTGGTAGGATGCTTGCTTGTGTAAAAGAGTGTAGATATAGGGGGGCATAACATATACCTAGACAGCATCTTAAAAAGTAGAGACATCACCTTGCCAACAAAGGTCCGTATAGTAAAAGCTATGGTTTTCCCAGTAGTGATGCATGGAAGTGAGAGCTGGACCATCAAGAAGGCTGATCGCCGAAGAATCGATGCTTTTGAATTATGGTGCTGGAGGAGACTCTTGAGAGTCCCATGGACTGCAAGAATATCAAACCTATCCATTCTGAAAGAAATGAGCCCTGAGTGCTCACTGGAAGGACAGATCGTGAAGCTGAGGCTCCAATACTTTGGCCACCTCATGAGAAGAGAAGACTCCCTGGAAAAGACCCTGCTGTTGGGAAAGATGGAGGGCACAAGGAGAAGGGGACGACAGAGGACGAGATGGTTTGACAGTGTTCTCGAAGCTACCAGCATGAGTTTGACTAAACTGCGGGAGGCAGTGGAAGACAGGAGTGCCTGGCGTGCTCTGGTCCATGGGGTCACGAAGAGTCGGACACGACTAAACAACAACAAAACATAAACCTGGTAGAATAGAGGAAAGCAGTGGGGCACAGTTACCTTTGAAAACAATTTTGATAGGAAGAACAGGGAAAGGGTATACTGGTGGTGGTTTTGTTCTGTAAATATTGTTTGGCTCTTTGAAGCCTCCACTGTTGATTCTGCAGGGCTTAATCCTACCTACTGTGCTGCTTAACACCTACCTGAAACTGCTGAGTGAAGTCATCCAGAGTTTTGAAGTGCATCATGAGTACGTTGAGAGCAACACAGCTCTATTTCTCCTTGTCATCTCAACCAGTGTGGCGGCGGATGTGTTGAACCAGTATCTGACCTTGACAATGGACTGGATGAAGCTCTAAGCCAGAGACATTGTTAGTGGCTGGTTCCTCTGTCTGAAGTGCAACTGTTTTCTTCCTGGAATCCCATTCTAGAAGGAGCAGCTTGGAGCTCCTCTTGGATTTACTGTTGTCCCCATGGGATGCCCTTTACAAGGTTGGGCTGGTGCCTTAGCTGTGACCCTGTTTGTATGGGGATAGCCTGGTTTCTGTGATCTGTGCTTTGGTAACCTCAAAGGCAGATTACGATACTGGGTTGTATTTTGGCCTCTGTTTTCAACAAGGTTCAGAAACGGCAGGCACGGTCAGATTATTTCCTGGAACTGGCACTCTGAATTTATAACTCCAGTTCTAGCCAAATGCACTAGTTTCCCATTTGTTTCTTCACAAAGCGATACAAAGGCTGTTCCTAGCTCAGGCCCACAATACCTCAATAATCACCTTTCCCCATAAGAGTTTACTCTGATCCAGGGATTGTGATCTGACGTCCTTCACCGATAGCCCCTTTAAAGAGAATAGACCTTTCTGTGGTACCCCTCCCTTGCTCCTGATTTTGGGATGCTCTCCTGTGCTAGGCTAGTGTCAAAATTGCTCTTTTTTTCCTCCACCATGTGAAAACTTACTTATGTGCACAATAATATTCTGGCTTTCAGTGGCTACTTTTGATGTTCCTGTCTGTGCTGGCTATGGGTGGTTCTTTTCTTTTTACAAAGCATTTTTAAATGAAAACCATTTGTAAATTTGTATTGTTTTACTGGATACATTGTTACCTCTGGTCATTGTTTTGCTTTTCTTTCCACAAGTTGCTTCGGGGCCTCCTCTGGTTGTGGGAAGCGATGAATAAATTTAATAAAGTTTAATAAATGTATAAATTCACCTCTTTGATAATGTAATAAGCCTAAGGACGATGTACTCCTCCTAGCTTATAAATCATATAGGGGACAAGAAAGGCAAAGAAGCACAGGAAGAACAAAATGTTGTTCTGTGACAACTTATTTGGTACTAATGATTGTGCAGGGCTCTGCAAAATAATCACGTTAACCAACGCACTGGCCTTCCTGCCTCATAAAAAAAAAAAAAAATCCCCTTAATAGTCTATTGAGCAGTCTTGAGTTTCAAGCTGTTGGTAAAAGCAAAACTATACTCAAAACGTGAAAAGACTGTGGAGGTAAATATATCCCAATAAACGTGGGGAAAAGCCTCTTCAAGCTCATACTTCGGAGTGAAAGAGCAGAAACCGAATTCACTTCAGAAGAACGCAGAAGAAAAGCATCATGTCCCCCAGACTAGTTCCCTGTGGATCCACGTTTGTACCTTTTCCGGGACTTGAACCTCCAAGCTTCGATTCTGGACTGAGGTAATTGTGCTAGTGTGTGTTTCTAATGTAGACTGGGAAGCAGCGGCTGCTAACTTGTAGCAAGCCCTGTGTATTCATGTTTATGCTGCTGCTACTTTGGTGCTCAAGTAAAGGACTGAAATGACATTCTTATTACAGATATAGCAATACAACAGGATAGTTAAACCTCAGGTTGAGCTGAAAAGTTTGAAGCGTTTTGTACGATCATCTCTTAACATATTGCGTGCATTAGATATTACCACGAAAATAAGTGTTTTCCAGGGATAAATTTTGCATTCTTGGCAGACCCTTCCACTTACGTTGATGGTAATTACCTAGGCTACAATTCTGATTTTTGCTAAGTGATGTGAGCACCTGCCTGCCATTAAAAGCCATTAAAAATTAAGTGCAAGACTGTTTTTAGCAAAAAAAAAAAAAAAATCTCAAAGAGAGACATCTAAGCCATGTTATTTGAGAGACCGCATTGTAATTTAATTAGTAAAAAAATCTGAAAGGGGAGAAAACACCCATTTTCTTTGGCTCTCCGGTGTTGTGGTATATTTAGGATCCCATCTGCCATGGTGTTTTTCAGAGGTAATTTGAACATTGCTAAACATAGTTGTTCATGCTCCCTGTCATCCTCCCCTTCTTCATCTCCTTCTTTAAATTATTTAATTTCATAGGGAAAGAGAACTTTCTGCTTTCAAGAACACGTTGTGCCTTTTCTATAGGATACAATAGAATTGTAACCTCTGCTTTAGCACAAGGTGTCTTCTTCCAAAGTGTTTATATGGCCTGCCAGGGTTTTTAAGGCACTTGCTGCTATGTCTGGCATTTAAGCTGAATGCCATTTAATGAAAAGAGATATACTCCTATAGAAACCTCCAGCAATAAGGCAGAAGAAAAGAACTGAGGGATGTAGATGTCGCACGGAAACAAACAAAAAATTGACTGTGTATGTTGTAGGCTCCAGACTTCAATGGATGTTGGCATTCGTATGTAAACATCCCTGATGGTCCCAGGTGAATTTTGTGAGATGAGATAAATTTGGTTTCTTTTCAGACATACACCACTGAACAGTGACAATTGTTTCTTCAGTTTTCAGCTATCAAAACAACAACAACAACAACAAAAAACAGCCTCATCAATTGGTCTGAACTGAGACCTTCATTAAATTCTTGGCATCTACTGTAGCAAATATTTTTGTTTTCTATACATGTTATAATTATCTTCTCCATGAAATGCCTGTATAGAAATAGGTACTCTGCACCATATGTTTAAAGCAGTTGTTTCTTTACGGGAAACAAAGTAAAATTAAGTTTAACATGTTACAGAATGATCACTGAAGAACTTTTTTTTTTTTTTGGCAAGGGGATCATATTAACTGCTGCTCTGTGCATTGATTCATTTTTACATGTGGTTTCTGCTATTTTATCTAAAACACAGGCCTGCTTCCAGGTTGTTTGTTTTTTGAAGAATGTGTGTGACCTCAGCAGTCCTCCTCATTGACTGAATTCACCTTCTCACTTCTCTTCCTGCTGTCCATTCTCTCCCACTCTGGACGGCTTCCCACACATAAAAACATAGTAAAACATCAAACATTAAAAGCTTCCCGATATAGGGCTGCCTTCAGAGGTCTTCTAAAAGTCAGATAGTCTTTGTCTCCTTGACATCTGATGGAAGGGTATTCCACAGGGATGGCACCACTACTGAGAAGGCCCTCTGCCTGGTTCCCTGTAATCTTACTTCTCACAGTGAGGGAACTGCCAAGAAGGCCCTCAGAGCTGGACCTCAGTGTGTGGGCTGGACAATGGAGGTGGAGATGCTCTTTCAGGTATACAGGGCCAAGGCTGTTTAGGACTTTAAAGGTCAGCACCAACACTTTGAATTGTGCTCGGAAACATACTTGGAGCCAATGTAGATCCTTTAGGACCAGTGTGATATGAACTACAGACGGAGGAGGCACTTAGGCTACGTGGTCACAGTCTCTCTCCCACCCCACCCTAGTGAAATTACTATATCTCTAAGTTGTAGCAATTATTTCTGAATTATCTATACGTATAATTAAGCCTGCGGGAAGCTGGGTCCTCTTTTGTTCTGTGTGGGGTTTTTTGGGGGGCGGGGGGCGGGGAGTGATTCATTTTCTTCCCAGCTGGGAATAATGCTCTCACAACAGCTAGGTAGTGCAATATAGTATTTTCATTTTACCATGAGACCATGGAAATGTGAACCCCAATATAGTTCACTAATAAAGCAATTTTGAGTAAGAAGAAGGGGGCAAGGTCAGGTGCATGATTTTTGCATCAGAAGGTCCCACATTTGCTGTTTAGTGGCAGCAGAAATGGGGAAAGTGCTGATTGCGACAAACCCAGAATAGAAATTGCTGTCTCCTTACACTCCTGTTCTACTTCCAGTTCCTATTTCGTGTTCCAATTTTTATTTCATTTTGTTCGCTCAGAAAGAGAAAGCAGACAAATGGCACTCAAAGACATGTGGAATAGTGTTGTTCAAGAGTCTAATACACAATGCTGGTTTGTATATTAGCACTTGCAACTTTCTCAATTGGTGCGAGCCTCCTGGCAGGTGTTAATCATATTGTTTAATTGCTTTAAAATGATGGATGTAAATGTAGGAACCAGAGGAGTTCTTATTGCATTTTCAGGGTATGGTCTGTAACTGAAGTAATTATTGTGAACAATTATTTCTTAATGTGTTTAAGTCTCACAAGAGAATAACACCAGATTGAGTATAACAACAGTTTATTCACTAAGCTAATTCCTTCAGGAAATATTGTGAGGACTATGAAATGTGAATGGCCCATTGTGTATGTCTGTTTTTCAAGTGGCAATTCAGAGGAAGTGTAACAACACTAAGAAACAAAGTATGTTTTACAAGGGAAACAAATGACAACTATATAGAAGAACTGAATTAGTGATTGACATCAAACTCAAGAGAAAACTTACTAATGCTAGTTTACCTTCTCAGAACAGAGTAAAAGGCTAGTAGATTACTAAGACTCAGCATGGCTTTCTCAAAAACAAGTCATGCAAGACAAATCTCATTGTTTTTTTTGATGATGCTACAGGCTTGGTGGATCGGGGAATGCTGTGGACATAGTGTATCTTGAATTCAGTAAAGCCTTTGACAAGGCCTCCAATGGTATTTTTTGCGAGGAAGCTGGCAGAATGTGGGTGGAATGAGCTAACGGTTCATTTTAACTATTGTCACCCAAAACTGGCTGGGAAAGAGCCAGTGGTGGTTTAGTGGTTAAGAGTGGCAGACTCGTAATCTGGGGAACCGGGTTCGCATCCCCGCTCCTCCACATGCAGCTGCTGGGTGACCTTGGGCTAGTCACACTTCTCTGAAGTCTCTCAGCCCCACTCACCTCACAGAGTGTTTATTGTGGGGGAGGAAGGGAAAAGGAGATTGTTAGCCGCTTTGAGACTCCTTCGGGTACTGATAAAGCAGGATATCAAATCCAAACTCCTCCTCCTCCTCCTCCTCCTCCACTTCTTCTTCTTCTTCTTCTTCTTCTTCTTCTTCTTCTTCTTCTTCTTCCTTTCAGTCTCAGCAAATAGTTGATTGAATAGCCTGCCCTGGGTGTTGTTGTTACTTAGGTGGTAAAACCTACAGTATTTCTGGGTTATAACGCTTCAGTTTGCAGTTGGGAGTGTTCATGACTGGAGGCAACAATGCTTGTGAATACCAGTTGCTGGAAAACGCAGGAGTGGAGAGTGGTTTTGTGTTCGAATCCTGTCTGTGGGTTTCCCATGGGCATCTGACCACTGTGAGAACAGGATGCTGGACAAGATGGGTCACTGGTCTGCTGCTGCTGGCTTTTTCATGTTCTTATGCTCTTTTGATGGAATAGTTGACTAGTTTCCCCTTCTCATTGTAAGGTAAAGGTACAGGGACCCCTGACCATTAGGTTTAGTCGTGACCGACTCTGGGGTTGCGGTGCTCATCTCGCTTTATTGGCCGAGGGAGCTGGCGTACAGCTTCCGGGTCATGTGGCCAGCATGACTAAGCCGCTTCTGGCGAACCAGAGCAGCGCACGGAAACACCGTTTACCTTCCCACTGGAGCAGTACCTATTTATCTACTTGCACTTTGACGTGCTTTCGAACTGCTAGGTTGACAGGAGCAGGGACCGAGCAACGGGAGCTCACCTCGTCGCAGGGATTCGAACTGCCGACCTTCTGATCGGCAGGTCCTAGGCTCTGTGGTTTAACCCACAGCGCCACCCGCGTCCCTTCTTCTCATTGTACTCACCCCCCAAAAAACTAGCACCTTAAGAAGAATTCTAGCCTACTGCTCTTTCAGCATACACTTTTTCCTGTGTTCAGATATTTGTTTTCTAATTTATTTACAGTTCTAGGAAGCATATGAAACAATCATGGAACTCACGTCAATTGACTTCAGTCAAATGTCATTGCTGCATCCTTTCCAGTGCCAGCTAAAAACATTTCTTTTTAGGCAAGCCATAAACTTGACACATATTTTAAGCTGTAACCTCAGCTTATAATGTAAACTTTTGATTATTTTTATTGATTATTTCCCTCATTTTTGAAACTTGTTTTTAACTTTGATTTTTGGGGGCAATTTTAATGTACAGTATATTGTATATATTTTGTAATCTGTTTGAAGGTTTTACATACAATTAAGCAGTGTATAATTGAAAAATAGGAAAAATAAGTAGCAACAACATCAACAACAGTAGAAGAAAGAAAAGGAGAAGAACTGAAATAGAAAATCTTGTTCCCCAAAAGGGAACTGAATTGTTTCTCTTTCTTGGTCTAGCTCTTATATTCCCAATCTCTTTATCTGCTTCCAACTGTTAATTTGCACTTGTGCAGGGAAGGAGATTTCTGATGTCAGCCATTCCATCTCTTTGCATTGACAGTAGAGCCCTTGGGAAGTTGGAGATTTATGGCTCGTCGACTGGGATGTTTTAAGAGGCGATGGCTTTTCAACACTTGATTCCTCAGGATCTTCCACACACTTGATGCTCCATAATCTGCTTTTGCAAGTCCTTCCCAGCCTCTGGGTATTCCAAGATCCTCTTTTGCCTCCACCGTTTTGGCATTCACCACCTCACTTTTCATGCAACTGTGAACATTCACCTTTTAAGCAGGGGTTTATTGCCTTCCTCCCCTGCGATAATCTGTCTCCATATAGCTATGCCTATATTTTTAAGTTCTAGGGTTTTCAATTGTCATTGTTGACACCAGCAACAACTTTTCAACTGAATTGCTTTTGTCAATCCATATCAGAGTGTGAATGAGTGTGTGTAGGAAGATCTGTTGTCATAGATTGAAAAGAATACCTGCTGACTATTTCTTGTCAACAATCAGCTTTAAAAGATATTAAATAAACTGCTTCAGGCACTTGACAAAAACCATAGAATAGTAGAATTGTAGAGTCGGAAGGGACCCAAGTCCAACTCCTGCAATGGAAAAGAATTCAAATGAAGGCTGCTGTGTTTGAAAATATTGATACATAAATTGCCCGTTTCATATTGCTGTACTCATATTTGAGTTTTGCCCCATCTCAGTCTGGGCAATGGCTAGCCTACCTTTTAAATCTTTCAGTGCATTGGGGAAGGCAATTGTGCCCTCTCTCACCCTTCCCCCCTCCAGTATTATTGTCTGCAGTCTCTTTCACCTGCGGTGAGCAGTGATAACATGGTTTTCTAGGTCCAGTACACTGTATGGATTGGATTCTCTTCCCCATTTGCAAAAGCGGATACAAATTTCCAACACCTTCAGTTATATACAAATCGTTACCCTCCTGTCTGAGTGGGGTGCAGGACCTGAAGTGAATTGAGGGCCACACACAAGTTAATAAGGCAGGCATATTGTCAATAGGTGAAGCTTTCCCCGTTACTGCATTTCCATACTAGAAAAAGCTTCACCCATTGAATTTCTGGCTGCTCTGCATCTGTTGAAGGTTCAAGAGGCCAGTTCTCTCCCAGTGCCAACCTCAAACCACACAAAGAACTCACGTTTCATGAGTTGCAAACTACTGTAGGTCTTTCTTCAATTGCTGAATTGTAGCCAGCACAAAAACATCACCTTGTGCCATGTGACATTGTTTTGAGAGATGGTTTAATGTTCCTTTAATTGGCTTTAAAATGTACTACAAATAAAGTAAGTTAGGTGCTTATTGCTATTATAATGCTGTGAGTCATCTCAAGGTGCTGTAAATCTCCAGGTCTGAACTTTCCTAGGATGTAAAATAAAAAAGACATTGTAATGGGTTGTCGCGGTAATGAGGCTACCTCTAGAAATAATGAGCCACAGGATCTTCTGCGCTCCAATCGATCACTGTGTAAATTTCCTGTTTTATCCAAAGCAAATTTCGGCTACAAGGGAAGAGAGAGTGCCTGGGATCCGAGCCTTGTAGGATGCATAAATTGCATTCATTTAAGCCAAACATTTCTATCATGAATAGATGAATAAAAATGGATTTTGACAGGATTATTCAGTTGTGAAATGCTCTAATGTGCCAACATATTTTGAGTCTAGACTTTGATGGCAGGTTAGGGTGATTGATGAGTGAAATGTTCACAGACCATGTATCCATTAGTAAATCTCTGCATCGCTTTGGAAATCTTAGTATGGTGAGGTGGAGGTTTTTACATATTGCAGTTCTGTTGCCTTCATTCAGGATTAGTCTGCTGTTTGGCTGTTAGTATAGTACCTTCACCTGAAAGTAATTATTCTGAATATCCATGCTTAGAGGATCTTAGTTTTGGATATTGTAAGAACTTGGCACATAATAATAATAATAATAATAATAATAATAATAATTTATTATTTATACCCCGCCCATCTGGCTGGGCTTCCCCGGCCACTCTGGGCGGCTTCCAAAAGAATATTAAAATACTATAATACATCAAACATTAAAAGCTTCCCGAAACAGGGCTGCCTTCAGATGTCTTCTAAAAGCCTGGTAGTTGTTGTTCTCTTTGACATCTGGTGGAG